AATCCACTGCCGCAGCAGCACTGCGACACACTCTCCAAGCACAGCCTCTGGCGTTGCGATTGCCCAGAGAGCGAGCAATAGGCGCCAAAAGCACAGATCTGTGTGCAGTGAGTCTCCATGTCGGTCGCGCCCAGCGAGAGGACAGCCGCGGGCCTCGGATGCTCGACCGGACGCGAGCCCACCGTGCGAGTTGCGGACCCGGAGGCGGCCGGCCCAGCTCACCCCCAGGGAGGCCATGCCCAGGGTCAGGCATAAAGGGGGGTGTTTTCCGTCCCCGTCCAATCACGACGAGTTTGCCATCTCGCGTTTTTTCTCTCTTTCCGCCACAACGAGTCAATCAACGACCCCAGTTGCGACTCGCCGCTACCCTTACGACGCCCACCAACCCACACCTCCCCTGCGCACCGCCTCCGCTGCACGCTTGCGTTGCGCCTCGGACTAGAAAAAAAGAATTTCGACAACAAATTCTGCGAGTTCTCTCCCTCGCGGCCCTCTCACACTACGCAGACAAACGTAACAGTGAATCATGGACGTACGCTGCATACCATGAGCATACCGTCGCGCGTGCGGGAGTGTGCAAGCAAAGGGGAGCAAGTTAGAGTAGCCAGTAAGTGTAGTGTTCGCGGACGTCACAGGTGTCAGCGGGTAGGTGGCCTGGGCTTTTTTTGCACTCATCGCGCCACCACCCTTGGCAGCACAAAGCCGCGCCAGACGTCCGCCAGCTCCGGAGCCGCTCCCTCGCGGCCGTCGAAGCGCTCCTCGTCCCACGCGATCAGGTAGCCCAGCCGCATCACCTCGACCGCCCACTTGCGAGCCGCCTCCGGGAAGAGCTCGTGGGACTGCGGCGACCACTCCGCCGCCTTGAGGATGAGCCTGCCCACCTCCACCGCCTCGGCCGCTGGCTCCAAGTTGGCCGGCCTGAGGAAGGGCAGAGGCGTGGGGCGTGTGCAAAGCGAGGACCCGGCGAGTGGGGGAGAGGCCATAGCGCGCCTCAGTGCGAGGGCCTTGGCCTCGCCCGCCACGCGCACGCCGAAGCGTCCCGTCGAAGCGCTTGCGGAGACGACGACGCCGACCTTGCCGTTCATCGATGGCCGCGAGACGAGAGAGTGGATCGCGACGGTGGAGCCGACGGCCGCAGCTGTCGGATCCGACTCGCCCCACGAGCAGAGGACGCGCGCCCGCTCGAGGGCAGAAGGGTCGCCGGCTGAAGAGTCCGCGCCGCCGCGCAGCAGCGCCCGCGCCCGGTCGACGGTGAGCGCCTGCGGGAAGAGGAACAGTGAGCGTGAGGACAATGCACTCACGCTTCTCTAGCCGCTAGTCTCGGGCACGCCTCGAGGTGCTGGAGCGGCGTCCAGCCGCGGCTGGCGACCAGCCAGGCGGCGAGGTCGGCGTGGCCTGCGCGGTTTGCGATCTCCTCGGGCGTGCCGAAGGGCGTTGCGGCGCGGGAGGCGCCGTAGGAGGAGAGGAGCTTGGCGAGCTCGAGGTGGCCGTTCTGACACGCCATGAACAGCGGCGTGGCGCCATTCTCATTGGCCTGGTCCATCGCCGCGCCGGTCTCGAGGAGCAGCCGGGCGGTGTCGAGGTGGCCCTGGTGGCATGCCATGGACAGCGGCGTGACGCCGTTGCCCAAGGCTTGGTCGACCGCCGCGCCAGCGTCGCGCAACAGCCGGGCGCACTCGAGGTGGCCATTATGGCACGCCATGAACAGTGGCGTGGTACCGTCATCCTTGGCTTGGTTGGGCGCCGCGCCAGCCTCGAGCAGCAGCCGGGCGATGTCGACGTGGCCCCGAACGCACGCCATGTACAGCGGCGTGGAGCCGTCCTCCGAGGCTTGGCCGACCGCCGCGCCAGCCTCGAGGAGCAGCCGGACGGTGTCGAGGTGACCATGGATGCACGCTATGAGCAGCGGCGAGAAGCCTCCGTCAGCAGCTTGGTTGAACGCCGCGCCAGCGTCGCGCAACAGCCGGGCGCACTCGAGGTGGCCATTCTGGCACGCCATGAACAGCGGCGTGGCGCCGTTGTTGCGGGCTTGGTTGACCGCCGCGCCAGCCTCGAGCAGCAGCCGGGCGCACTCGAGGTGGCCATTCTGGCACGCCATGAACAGTGGCGTGGAGCCTTGCTCATCGGCCTGGTCGATCGCCGCGCCAGCTTCGAGGAGCAGCTGGGCGCACTCGAGCTGGAGCTCCTGGCACGCCATGAAGAGCGGCGTGACGCCGTCCTGCTTGGCTTGGTTGACCGCTGCGCCAGCGTCGCGCAGCAGCCGGGCGACCTCGAGCTGGCCGTTCTGGCACGCGATGTACAGCGGCGTGGTGCCGTTTTGCTTGGCTTGGTTGACCGCCGCGCCAGCCTCGAGGAGCAGCCGGACGATTTCGGGGTGGCCCTTTAGGCACGCGATGAACAGCGGCGTGGCGCCATCATCCGCGGCTTGGTTGGGCGCAGAGCCAGCCTCGAGGAGCAGCCAGACGCACTCGTGCTGGCCGGTCTGGGACGCAACGTACAGCGGCGTGACGCCTCCATCATCAGCTTGGCCGACCGCCGCGCTGGCCTCGAGGAGCAGCCGAACGATCTCGAGGTGGCCCTTCCAGCACGCCATGTTCAGCGGCGTGACACCATTGTCCGTGGCTTGGTTGACCGCTGCGCTGGCCTTGAGTAGCAGCCGGGCGCACTCGAGGTGGCCCTCCTGGCACGCGATGAACAGCGCGGAGCCGCCGCCGCCATTCGTCGCCCCGACGCTCGCGCCGGCCTCGAGCAGCAGCCGCACCGCCTCGGCCTGCCCGTGACGAGCGGCCCAGGTGAGCAGCGTGTGCTGCCTCTCGGTGTCGTGCCGCGCGTCGAGCTGGGCAGCGAGCGACGTGCCACTCGTCCCCTGCCCGGAGAGGAAGGCGAGCAGTGAGGCCAGGTCGCCCTGAGCCAGGTCGGCGAGCACGTTGCTGGGGAGGATGGGGCCGCTCATTGCGGCGCCTGAAAGAATTTTACAATCCCCTCGGAGAGTATTCTTTAGCTCCGAGTAGAGGGGCGGCGTTCTGCAGTTAAGGGGAAACCCGGTACACGGAGCCAACCCTCGGAGACCCGTGTTATGGCCCTGCGAACGCGCACCCCCGGGGCTAGGGCTCTCTAGCCCGTAACCCGACACCGATCATCCGGCTCGCTGGGTGCGCTTCTGAGCTCCCCGGCCCTGGATGTGCGGTTAATGACTGCACTCCAAGTGCTCCAAATCCCCGCACAACACTGGGCACGGGACTGGCGCGCACTGGCACTAACACAGGTACACCACGGGAGCCGCCTAAGCGACTCCTGCGAGGGTTGCGAGGCACTTAGCTCCGTGCACCCGCCCACCCCCGCCACAGGCAAGCTCATTCACGACCTGCTCTGCGATGGCCGTGTGAATGAAGAACGACTGAGATGCGCTGCTTCTGCAGCCCCAGCCTGAAAGAAACCTCCGGTCGCGCTGGACTTTTCAGTGTTTGTAGGGATCCCTAGCTCTTACGTACATTCCCGGAGGAGGACTGCTGACGGGGTTCTGACAAAAAAAGCGAAATCCTGGGGGTTTGCGTTCGTTTTGCCTGGCCTGAACAGGCCTGAATGAACGGGCGTGGTCCGGGCTCAAAATCAGATGGCCTTCCCGCCTTCCCGCGTCCCCCTCAATGCTCTTGCGCCTTGCTGCTCCCGTCCCCCCCCGCCCGCCCCCCCAAATCTTCTCTGTGCACTCACTTCCTGATACATATCGTTTTGAGCGCTCCCCTCTTTCTCTCTGTCTCTCCTGATTCGGAGCCATGCCAGAAAGAAAATCCTAATACTCGGGCAAGTGCTCCAAGTGCTCGGGTGGACAACACACGCAAACTCCAAACAGTTACAGCAAGGAACAGAATTGCACAGGCCTTCACAAGTAACAGCGAGGCCACCTCTGACAACCTCGCTGCCAGGCCACATGCATGCCGTGCAGCCCAGCGGGGACGGGGAGCGGGGCGGGAGGGCTGGAGCAGGCGGACATCGCTTCCAGGGAGGGGGGCGCGCACTTCTACTCACACCACATGCTAGGGGGGGGGGGGGGGGGCGTGAATAAAAGGGCCCCCCCCTCCCTGGAAGCGATGTCCGCCTGCTCCTGGTTTGGGACCAAAAACAATGGCACCGGCGGCGGCCCACGCGGTGGTTCAAGACGGCTTTCAAAGTAGCGCAGGTCGGTCAGATCTCAGATGTCAAACTCGCCCACCCATGGCCGTGCAGCCCCAGCGGCTCTCGACTGGGAACTCGAAATAGCGGTTAGCGCGGCTTGCTGCATGGTCTCGCCTACGACGCAACCGAGGCACACTTCTCAGCTTGACCGCTTCCAAGCAGCGCCACATGGATCATGGTCGGCGTACCGTCGATGAGCGAGACGAAGCTATCCCCGTCCCGCTCGTCATGCACGAAAGTAATCAAATACGCGGCGTCGGAGGCGTCTGCTGCCTTGGCGCCCGCTGGCGTGGTGTCGGCATACACAGAGCATTCATTCACAGAGTGACAGCGAAACACGAGAGAGAGATTTTTAGCAATACCAAACAACTCTAACACTCACACGTCATTTGGGGCCTGGAGCCCTGTTCACGCGCGCGCGAGACGTGCAGACAGGGTTGCCAGGTGAGAGCGAATGGCGCGGTTCTTTGAACTTTGTTTGTCGAAATACGTGTCCTACAGGAGCACAAGAATACGTCTTCCGCTTCTGGGCGTGGCTGCCATACGGGTCCGACTCAAACGGCTTCGCGGAGTGCGCATGTATGAACAACAGTCGGGCTCGGACGGGACACAGTGCGCCGTTTCCAGAAAAAAGAATTTTGAGAAAAATTCCGTGAGTTCTCTCCCCAATCTCGGCTGAGCTCACATTCGCGATGCTCGCCTCGTCGGTGGCGCCCCCGCCTCCCGCCGCAGTTCGTCGCCGCCGCAACTCGCCTCCGCCACCACCGCCCATGCGTGTGCAAGAGCAGGCTCCGTTCATCCCTCCGCCAACCGTGCCTCCGGCGCCGATGTTCTTCCCGCAAACGGCGGAGCAGCTCGCCTACATGCAGCAAGTCCAGCAACTGCAGCGGTTGGTCGTGGCTCAGGTCAACTATTACTTCAGCGACGAAAATTTGCTCAGAGACGAGTACCTCCGCCGCCAAATGGATGGCGAGGGTTGGATCTCAATCGAGCTGCTCGCCACCTTCAACCGTCTCCGCAGCCTGACGACCGATCTCCATCTCATCGGCGAGGTGCGCGCACTATTCGTCGCCGCCATATGGAACACCACGTTGTCGTAGATCACAGCCTCTCTGCGCGGCGCAGAGAGCGCGCAGAACCTCCTTCCTTCCTCCCACACACACTCCTCCCTCGCACCGTCGCACCGCCCCCAACACGTCCACCTCTCCCCCATCCTCTCCCTCCCCCCTTCTCCCCCCATTCCCGCAGGCGCTGCTCCTCTCGCCCGAGCTGGAGGTGCTCGACGGCCGCGTCCGCCGCCGCTTCGACTGGCAGCGCTGGGCGCCTCCCTCCCCCGGCGTCCCTCTGGCCTCGATCCTGCGCCAGCCAGCGATGCCGCCGCTGCCGCCCCTCGCCACGCCGCACCACGGCGGAGCAGAGGGGGCGCCGCTGACGCCCGAGGCGGCGGGGACGGCGCTTTCGCGCGCGCCCACCGCCGAGCACGTCTCCCCCGTCCACAGCCCCAACGCCCGGCCCGCCGCCGCCGCAAAGTGGCTCGACGCGCCGGCCGTGCAAAAGCCCGCCGCCGCCGGCCACGCTGCGGGCGGGTCGCCCGCATCGTCACGCTGCGCGGCTCCTCCTCCGCCGCGCGGGTCGTCGTCCCCCGCCGCGGCGCACGCGCCCACCCGGCCCGACGCGTCACCATCCGCCTCCGACGCGCCTGCTGAGGCGCGATGGGCGCAGCAGCCGCCGCGGCAGCGTGGAAATGTCTCGGACAAGTCACCGCTGGAGGCGGGGAGCCGGGGGCGGCACGCCGCGCCGTCGCCGCTGTCGGCGGACGGCGGCGGCGGCGGCGCCTCCTCCGCCTCGCCCTCCTCCTCCTCCCACCGCCCTTCCTCCAGCGGGGGGGCTGGAGGCTACTACGCCCCTCCGCCGTACGTGCAGCCGCGCCGGAGGTGCGGCAACTGGGAGCCTGTGGCCAAGGGGCGGCGGCGCGGCGGCAAGGGGGGGTCGGGGCAGCTCCCCGCGGGGCTGTGGACCGGCTCCGCCGCCGCGCCGCCCGACGAGGTGGAGATCAACTCTGACGAAACTCTGA